GGATATGGGTCTATAGTTTTCTTTTTTGGTTGTATCTTTACCAGGCTTTGGTATGAGAGTGATACTGGTTTCATAGAAGGAATTTTGGAGTTCTCCCTCCATTTCTATCTTTTTGAATAATTTGAGCGGGTCTGTTTAAGATGTTAATCTCTTCTTGGTTTAGTTTTGGTGGTTCCCATGCCTTTAGATACCCGTCCATTTCTTTTAGGTTTTCAAATTTAGTAGCATATAGGTTTTTAAAGTAGTCCCTTAAAGTGTCCTGGATCTATTTGGTGTCTGTTATGATGTTTCCCCTTTCATCTCTGATGTTGTTGATTTGGAGGTGCTCTTTCTGTCTTTTGTTTAACTGTGCTAAGGATCTGTCAATCTTGTTTATCTTTTCAAAGAACCAGCTCTTGGGTTCCTTGATTGTATTGTTTTCTTTGTTTCTATTTCATTAATTTCTTGTCTGATTTCTGTTATTTCTTCTTGTCTGCTGGGTTTGGGTTTCATTTGTTGTTGCTTTTCAAGTGTCTTGAGTTGCAATGTTAAGTCATTTTTTGTGTTCTTTCTGATTTTTTAATGTAGGCACTTGGAGCTATAAACTTCCTTCTAAGAAGAGCTTTCAGCATGTCCCACAGGTTTTGTCGTGTTGTATTGTCCTTTTCATTTAGTTCCAGGAATACTTTTATTTCTTTCTTAATTTCTCTTTTGAGGTATTCATCATTCAGGAGTGTGTTATTTAATCTCCATATGTTCATGTGGTGACTAGGGCTTCTTCTGGTATTGTTTATAAGTTTTATTGCATTGTGGTCTGATAGAATGCCTGGAATTATTTCAGTCTTTCTGTATTTGTTGAGGTTCGTTTTGTGCCCCAGTATATGGTTAATTTTGGAGAAGGTTCCATAGGGTGCTGAATAGAAAGTATATCCTTTGGTGCTTGGGTGGAATATCCTGTACATGTCTGTCAGGTCCATTTGATGTATGGTATATTTAATCAGGGTGGTTTCTCTGTTTATTATTTCAACTATGATAGTCTTGCTTGGCAAAGTATGTTGGGTTGACATCCATGATTATTTAGAACTGGGAATACTTTGGTCCAGGCTCTTCTGGCTTTCATAGTTTGCACTGAAAAGTCAGCTGTAATTCTGATGGGCTCTCCTATATGTGGAACTTGCTTTTCTCTACAAGCTCTCAGTATTTTTTCTGTCCGATATGCTGTGGGGAATTTCTGGTCTGGTCCTGTCTTTGGTATTCTGTGTGCTTCTTGTATCTGTACACGTATGTCTTTCCTTAAGCTGGGGGAGTTTTGCGCTCTAATCCTGTTGAAGCCCTTGTCTCTAGCTGAGTTTCTTGCAGACAACAAAAAGATGGGTTTTGTTTCTTAATCCATTCACGTAGCCTGTGTCTTTTGACTGGGGAGTTCAGTCCATTGATTTTTAATGTTGTTAATGAAAGATGTTTATTGAATCCTGTCATTTTTATTTCTATTCACATTCCTGATATAGCTGTGCTTTTCCACAGTTATACCTTCATTGAATTTCTTTTCACAACCCCTTGGGTATAATCATTCCCTTCTTCAGCTCTTTGTAATGCTTCAAAAATGCTCTGAAGGGCTGGTTTTGTGGACATGAATTCTTTCAGCCTATTTATGTCATGGAAGATTTTTCTTTCCTCTTCGACTATAATAGACATTTGGCTGGGTATTGTAATCTGGTTTGGCAGCTGTGGTCATTTAAAACTGTGGTCATTTAAAACTGGTCATTTAATACTACTTTGGTCCAGGCTCTTCTGGCTTTCATAGTTTGCACTGAAAAGTCAGCTGTAATCTTAATGGGTTTTCCTTTATATGTGACTTGGTTTTCTTTTGCAGCTTTCAGTATTGTCTCTTTGTTCTGTATGTTCAGTGTTTTTATGTTGTACTGTGAAGAGTTTCTTTTCTGGTCCCGTCTGTTGGTGTTCTATATGCTTCTTGTATTTTTATGGGCATGTCTTTCTTTAATTTTGGGAAATTTTCTTCCATGATTCTGTTGAAGATCTAGTCCATGCCATTACCTTGGGATTCTTCTCCTTCCTGTATGCCTATGATACATAAGTTTGGTCTTTTTATGGTATCACACAATTCCTGCATATTCCATTCTTGTGATCTCTTAAGTTTTTCATAATCTTTGCTTTAGTGGTCTAGTTCATCCATTTATCTTCCAGTCTTGATACTCTGTTTTCCATTTCGTTCATCCTATTGGTGTGGCTTTCTCCTGTTGTTTCTAATTGGCTTACTGAGTGATTCACTTCCTTTTTCATTTCATCCAGCCTGAGTAGTCTTCAATATTTCTAACTCTTTTCTGAATTCATTCAGAAGTTTATCCCTATCTTCCTTCAGTTCTTTAATTTCTTTATGTGTTCTTTAAATTCACTGAATTCTTTTATCATGTTTATAGTTGTTGTTTTGAATTCCATGTCCTGCATTATCTCTAGGGGATTCTCATTGTACTCCTCTAGTGCAGCAGAGGGAGGTGAGGGCGGGACCTGGCTCAGAGGGCTCCTGGGGACCTCGAGAAGGAACTGGGCTGGTCTGGATGCAAAGGATCAGGAAGCAGTGGTGGCACCAAGCTGAGCAGTCAGCCTCAGTGTCTGGGGTGCCAAGACCAGAAATGGGCCAGTACCCAGGCTTGGAGGAGAGATGGAGCATTGGAGCTGGCAGGTGAATGAGATTGGAGGAGTCAAGGCACAGTGGGCATCCTGGACTTACCCAGGAGAGAGGCTGGCACATTGTGCAGCCCAGGGAAACAGAGGGAGGTGAGGGTGGGACCTGGCCCAGAGGGCTCTTGGGGACAGGGAGAAGGAACTGGGTTCATCTGGATGCAAAGGATCAGGAAGCAGTGGTGTTTTGAGAGGTCAGCCCTGGTGTCTGGGGTGCCAAGACAAGAAATGGGCCAGTACCCAGGCTAGGAGGAGAGTTGGGACAGGGGAGCTGGGAGGGTGAATGAGGCTGGGGGAGTCAAGGCATGGTGGGCGCCACTGGACTTACCCAGGAGAGAGGCTCACGGGTTGTGTAGCCCAGGGAAGCAGAGGGAGGTGAGGGCAGGCTATATATTTTCATTTTGTGTGTGAGTCTATTGTCAACAAGTATGTAAGTGTACCTTTGTCATGCAGTGGCCACAGAGGTCAAAAGACAGTATCAGATCCCCTGGAACTGGAGTTACAGACAGTTGTTGGCTGCCATGTTGCTGATGGGAACAGAACCCTGGTCCTCTGCAAGAGTAGCCAGTACTCTTAACCACTGAGCCTTCTCTCCAGCCCCCTACTTTTGTAACTTTAAATCACTGCTGTTCTCTATTGGACCTGGATTCCATGTGACCTGGATTTTTTTTTTTTTTTTTTTTTTTTTTTGCTGGTGATCTTCACTCTGTTCCTTGTTTTAGGAGGAAGTGTTGAGGTTTTTAATATTTTTTTAAGATTTATTTTATGTGTAGTGTTTTGCCTGCATCTTTGTATGTACACCACATGCATGCCTGGTGCCAGCAGAGTCAGAAGAGGGTGTCAGATGTCCTGGAACTAGAGTTATGAATGGTTGTTAGCCACGCTCTGCATGCTGGGAACCGAACTCAGGTCTTCTTAAAGAGTAGCCAGTGCTTTGAACTGCTGAACCATCTTTCCAGCTCCAAGCGTTCAGTTCTAAATGTTTGGTCCATAATAATCTTGAACTATTATACATACTTAACCCATTCTTTTTCATTTGCCACTTGTATATATCTGTTAACTATTTTATCTTTTATTTTGTTGGTCTCTTGCTATTTTTAAGTTCTGCAACACCTACTAGGTATCATTCATAGGTTGGCTCTAAAATTTGAAGATCAAAAAACCAACAATTACATTATTATGATTTTCTGAATACTTTTTACCACTAGACTAAGCAGTACTAAGCTGACTTCTCTGGTTGTTCATTACTTTTCAGCCAGTTCAAGGAAAGTAGTTCTACATCAGTCAAAGAGCTCCTCTAATACCTTGTCCATTGTTTTATGTTTGTACAATTCCCTTCACTCCACATTTCAGTCATGACCCTCTTATTCCATTTTCTCTCCCCTCCAATAATTATTACTTTTTGCATTTTCTCTTCTGTTGAGTCCTCTGTTCTGAAGGCTTTCCCCTAGCAACCTTTGATCCCATCATTTCGATCTATGGTAAATGTTTTCTAGGCCTGGCAACATCATCTTAAGCCTTCGTTACTACTTTCCTGCACTGAATCTTTTATCTATAGTCCATGCCATCTTTCATTTTGTCCTATTACTTTCTTGGAAAAAATTTCTCAAATAACTTTGTGAGCCAAGATGTATAGAAAGTAAACTTTTTGCGTCCTTGAATTCATACTTTGGCCAATTCTAGAATTCTGGATTGAAAGTTTCCTCTCAGGTCTTTGAAGGCCTTATAGCATCATCTTCTGATTCTCCTTCTCTGTGGGCTCACGGGTGTTTCTTCTTTCTGCACTCCACTGAAATTTCACAATGATATTTAAGTCTTAGTGTGGGTCTTCCTCATTTATTGTGCTAGATGTAGTCTGAAGACATATTCTCAACTCTAGGAAATACAAAAGTTGCTTTTAATTGTATTTGGAAAATCCTGTAGAAATAGTATTTGAGTACATAGCAGTTGTAAAAACCAGCATATTACATTCTTTCCACCCATCTATATGGATTCAAATGGTCAGTTTGTTTAGGGATTTGAGTGGTTGAAAAAGAATCTGTCATAGATACTATATAAACATGTTTCTGTTTTAATCATCCTACTTTTATAATGCTATATAGTATTCTGGTCATAACAGTGATTTTTTTCCATTCTGGATGAGTAGGTGGGTGAATGGTTTGTTTTTTGAGATAGGGTCCTTATTATCTATAGTCCAAGCCGGGCTGGAACTCCCAGTCTTCCTGCTTCTACCTCTTGAGCCCTGGGATTACAGTGATGTCCACTATGCTCATCACCAGTTTGTGCTGTTTTAATATTCTGTTTCCTTTTTTTAATTCTAGGGCTGGTGGACTTGGTCTCAATTTTGTGGGTGCTAATGTTGTTATATTATTTGATCCAACATGGAATCCAGCCAATGATCTTCAAGCTATTGACAGGTATAATACTGAGAAAATTTAAAGGGACCTGAAAATTCTTGTAGTCTAAAAATACTCTTGAAGTTTTTCAATTGCTTTATAAGCAATCTCTTTATATTGTTCTATATACTAGTTAGAAGAGGCAGGCACCTGTTAAATTTCTGTTGACTTAAAATAACCCTAAATTTCTGAATTCAAATAACAATTTGCTAGTAGCTTTTTGTTTTCTATCCCAAAATCCTACTGACATGACAGAAACTAATAAATCTATAATACCAAAGAAAAATAAGACAGTTTACTACTAGTAATTCAGCAATTTTGAGAAATTCCGAAAGAGCAATAGCAAATAAAATCTGTATCACAGAACTCATCAGAGAAAAGCCACAGCCCAGAGCCTGCAGGACTGAACAGAAATTTCAAGCATGAATTGGCAACTGCAGGATGTAGAAGAAGAGTACAGGTTCCCTTCTGGGTAGCTAGTAAAGTAATGTGATGACTTTGAAGCATATGCTTCTCCCACCTCATATTTACACAGGGCTTGTCTACAGCATGTTTCATAAAAGAATAATTTTAAAGGTAAGTAGGGAATTTGAGATTAGAAAATTCCTGGTATTTTGAAATCAGATGATAAAGTGGACCCAAACCTGAAGTAATCCCAAATCTCTACAGGACACAATAAGGGGAAGTGATTGAATAAATCTACAGTCTGCATAGAATCCAGATGATCTTTCCAGCATAATCTACCTAGACCCAATAAATTATGAACAGGAAATTAAGAATTATGAGGCATTTTCTTAAAAGTAGCAACATGAAAGAAAAAATACCAAGGAGAAAAGCCAGTGTTGAAGGGACTAAAACAAGCATAAGACACAAGAAAAATGTATATAGCAAACAAAAATATTCTCAGAAATTAAAACCATTATGGAAAGAAAACTAAAACTCTAAATCATAAAGTAGAGAACAGCTAAATGTGATGTTAAATATGAATGAAAGTAGATGTTAAATATGAATAAAGAGAAAGGAAAATCCCAGGAAACTGTTTCAGAAAGTAAAAAAAGATGAGAGGTCAAGGGAGATAATTAACAGAGTATCTAAAGAACATTGCTGTTACTTTTCAAGGGCCACTAAATACTGTTTATGAATAATGGCAGAGAGAGAGAAAACATGTATCTTGGTGTACTTATAATCCTGAAGATAACGAGAAGGACTAAAATGCCCCAGAGTAAGAAAGAAGAGGATTTATAAAAAACAAAACCCCAAAGGAAAGAACAAGTTAACAATGAACGTAAATCAGATTGATTTCTGCAAATCAGACTTTTTTCATCTGCAGTAGGATGACAACAGCGTCAGAGTGACAACATGCATGACTTCATGTGGAAGAAAATTATTTTGACTTAGGGTTAAAAATCAATGACTAACATATCAAGGTATAAGGAAAAAAATAAAAGTAACTGTTGACATCTAAGAACTCAGTAAATGTATTGCTTGTGGTCTGAAAGCATTGCTTAAGACTATAAGCCAACAAGTGAATCTATATAGAGAAGCTAGACTATACAAACAAGTCAGTGATAGGCAGAGAAGGTTCAGTAGTTATAGTTAGGTCTAAAACCTTATTGGCAGTGTGATTAAGAGGCTTAAGGCAGTTATAAAGGAAATATTCTCCCTAATACTAAGGATGGTATAAGACCTTTAATAATAAAAACCTGAAACCCTGTGTAATTTTAATAAAGCATGAGAATTGTGGAGGAGGAAGGAGCTATTAGAACTTTTCTTTCCTTTCAGGAAACACTCAGGATATCCTGATCAGTTCTCAAACTATTTACCAAAAATGTTTTTTAAATGCTAGAAAAAAATAAAGGGGCAACAACTAAAAGAATGAGGTATGGTAATCACTCGGTACACGTTTAAAACACAGTGATTAGTCTTCACCCTCAACATACTCTGACTCTGTAGAATGAAAGTGAGACTCTACAGTCTCTTATTTTTATTTTATTTTATATGTGTGTATACATATCTGTGTGAGTATATGTGCACGTGGGTGCATGTGCTTTTTTGTGCAGAGACTAGAAGAGGGCGTCAGATCCCTCAGAGCTAGAGTTAGAGGAATTTGTGGGATGCTTGCACAATGTGGGTGCACTTACATGCATGCAGGCAATACACTCACACATAAAATGAAAATAATAAAATATTTTAAGTCATCAAATATACAGGACAAGTTTGAAAATACACATACACCTAGTCTAGACAGAACTGGCCTGAAAAGATTTTAAACCTTCAGTGTGAACTAATTTTAATGTTCAAGACACAAAGACTGGGAGAAGTAATTGTTCTTTCAAATAGCAAATTTTCAACAAAAACACTTTTTTTCTTTCATGACATCAGTAATATGAAATCTAGCCTTTGTGATTTTTTTTCACTAAAATATGTGGTCGTTTTACTATTTTCTTTTTCAGTTCTTGGCATTGAATATAGGACTGAACTACATCCCAGCCCTATATGTCATTTAAAAAATACTGTACGAATGCTTATAAATACTAAGTATTTTATTTAGTTCTGAAGTTATAATAGCAAAGTACAGTCTATTCAAAGTAACAAAATCAATCTTCAGATACTGTCCTTGGAGCTATGAGACAGACTTCAAAATAGCTGTCTTAAATGCTTGAAGCTGAAAGAATACACAGAGAAAGAACTAAGGAATATTAGGAAATGTTGGTGAATAAAATGAGACTATTAATAGAAATAATAATAACAAAAACAAAACCACAATTTTTCTAGACCTTCTGCCATTCAGTTCTCTGTAAAAAAAAAAAATCACTATAGTTTAATACAAACTTAATCAGGCAGAAGAAAGAATGCACAGATGTGAAGGCAGATTATTTGAAATTATGAAGCCTCAGTGCTTGGGAGGTAGAGACAGATAGATCCCAGGGGTTGCTAACCAGCCAGCCAGCCCAGCCAGATCGACAAGCTTCTACCCGATCTCCAAAAAAAAGGTAGATGGTGCCCGAGGAAGGGTACCCAAGTATGTGTGTGCGCACACACACACACACACACGAGTAGAATGGTGGTTACGAGGCACTAGGGACCAGGGAATAGAGAAATTACTATTTGATGGGTAATTTCAGTTTCACATGAAGGTCTGTATGTATATAATCATGGTGGTTCCAAAGCAGTGTGAATCTACTTAATACCATTGAATTCTATGTTTAAAATGATTGTTTGGTGTTCCATGTATTTTATCATCATGAAAAAGAAATCAAAACAGTAAACATGATTATTTACCAGTATTAGTGACATCACCATGGATTACTATTTTAAGTTCTCATGTTAGTTTATAGTCTAAATTAATTTCTTAGAAAAGAAAGACTGAAAACAAAAGAAAAATATAACTCAGAAAACTAAATGTGAACAAAATAGGGGAGGTTATAAAAGGAAATTATCACATTAAATAACAAATTTTAAATAATTTTTTGAAAATAATGTGATAGAGAAATTTTTAATAGTTTGAGAGTAAAAGGCAAATATACAGAAAAGCTTAAGAAGTAGGAATGTGCCTAGCTTGGTAGCACACACGTTACATCCAAGCACTCAGGAGACAGAGGCAGGCAGATCTTTGTGAGTTTGAGTACAGACTGTTCTACATATCTCAAAACAAAACAAAAGCAACAAAAAAAAAAGAAAGAAAAGAAAAGCTTACTAACCACTAATATTTTCTTACAGTATTGAACCTTTTACATACAACTTTATACAAATATGCTTTTAGAAGAATAAGGACAGAGGAACAACAGTTACATTTATTACATTTCTTGTCAACCAGACACTAGTTTCTATGAATTACCCAATATCCTGATACCACAGGCACTGGTACCCTCCCATTTTACATTTGAGGAGGCTGAAGCAAAGTTATTGTAGTAACATTCTTAGGGTCACAGCTAGAATGGCTGGGTCAGGATTGATGTGATTTTATCTTTTTTATGTGTGTGTGTGTGTGTGTGTGTGTGTGTGTGTGTGTGTGTGTGTGCCTGTCTGTCTGTCTGTCTGTTTGTCTGTAAGTCTATGCAGGTCTGGATGCATGGTGCATGCATGCACATGTGTATATTTGAGTATAGAGGTCAGAGGTCAACCTTGGGTGTCTGATGTTTTGTGAGACAGGATTTCTCTCTGGCCTGGAGCTTGCCCAGTAGGCTAGGCTGACTGGCCAGCCAACCCCAGGGATCTTCTGTTTCCATTGACCCACTGCTGGGTTTGCAAGTACATGCTACCACAGCTGACTTATTATGTGGTTCTGGGGATCAAGCTCAGGTCCTCATGCTTACACAGCAAGTACTTTATTCACTGAGTTGTCCCCCTAACCCCAGTTTTTAACTTTTTCAGAAATATCTTTAAAACCTATTGTCTTATTTATCCCACTGTCCCTGAAAGCATAGTGCATTAGTGCATTCCTCATCCCCATCTATTTCCTTCCACTGAGTCTCAACAGAACAAAGAAGAGAAATGCAGATACTGACCTGTATATTGTAGAGCAATTTTTATTTGTCTCTTCATAGTGAAAGATCTGCCATTTGCAAATGCCTTTTTTATGGACCATGAAATTGATGAGGCATAGTTATAAAATAACACATATTAAAAAGTTTCATAAGCTGGGTGTGTTGGGGCATGCCTTTAATCCCAGCAGTCAGGAGGCAGAGGCAAGTTGGAGCTCTGTGAAATTGAGGCCAGCCTGGTCAACATAGCAAGTTCCAGACCAGCTGGGGCTCCAGGGAGACCTTCTCTCCCTGCTCCCCCCCAAAAGTTTCATCTGTGAAGATTAAAGGATAAGTATTCATCAATTGCTCTCTCTCTCCTCTCTCTCTCTCTGTCACACACACATACACAAGACCTTTTCTTGGATCCTTTTCTGATTTTATTTACAACCCAAAGGCATTGTGGGAAAGAAGGGAATTACAAGCCCATTTCTTCCTCCAAGTCAAAGGGTGGAAGTGAGAATGTAGCCCTTACTCTTTGGGCTGTGTCACAGGAGCCTCTGTTTCCCTCTGCAGATACAAGATTTGCAGGATTCAAGATGCCTCAAGTAAAAGATCTTCTCTGTGAGAGAATACCAAATATTAACATAGTATCTACAGTAACACCCAAGTTCAAAATTAGTTTCCCCAAAATCATAAAATTTCAAGCATTGTAAGGAACAGTCTCCCCATTCAACTCAGCACTCTAACAGGCATTTAGGGACAGCAAGCACCGTCATTCAGAGCATCCAATAAAGCTTCTGCATGAGAAGTCACAGGGAAAAGACTTCCTCAAGCAGCCACTACTTCTTTCAGTCACTATGTATTAGTCCACACATCTGGAGAAAGTTTGTAGAAGTTGAGTTATTTGGGAATACTGCATGAGGATTGCTGTAAAAGACAGGTTTTCTTAAAATACTGCTAGGAATATTGCTATTGTTTAGGAAAGGTTTTTGGATATTGGAAGGTGATATTTGTAACAAATTAAGTTTTGTATATTTTTCTATAGTATTCTTAATAACTAGTCTTTGTATTTGACTTTAGATATATTTTTATTATTACTAATAACATCATACCTAAACACAGTATTTTACTTTAAAAATTTTAGGAATGTTCCATTTTTATATACAAAAGCTACTTCTTAAACTTGAAGTTGCCTTCATTGGCTTGTTTTATTTTCAATTTTCAGAGCCTATAGAATTGGACAATGTAGAGATGTTAAAGTGCTTAGGCTGATATCCTTGGGGACTGTGGAGGAGATCATGTATCTACGACAGGTCTACAAGCAGGTAAGTATATATCCCTTTTTCTAAGGAAGAGATAAATATTTATCTATTTTCAGAAATTAGTAACAAATTTGTATAAAGTTTTTAATTTTACTCTAATGTGAAACTTAGCAAGATTATAAAAATATGCTCTTAACTACACTATTCATATGAGCTAGAATAATTATTAAGTTCATTGAATTTTACTCCTGAAATTTTCTTAGAGTAGAATTTCCTAAACGTGAATGTGCATTTAAATCACCTTGGGACCTTGTTAAACTACAGATTCTGATTTAGTAGGTCTGAGGCAGAGCCCAAGAGTCTGCATTTCTAACTAGCTCCTGGGATTACCAGTACTGCTAGTCCACCAATCACTATTAAAATAATGAGGGAACACCTCCCCAAACTGTATGCCAAGACTTGGTATCTGTGCCACCGATTATCTACAAGGTACACTAAGACACTGATCTTACAGTTTATGGCAACAAGAATGGCTGAGCCATCTTCTAGACTTGAGTAGCCTCCTCTGTTGACTCCAGGTTGCTGTCAGGTGTCATGACTTGAAAAAGGTTGGGGAGCCCGGCCTTAGAGATACAAGATACACACATAATAAAACTCTCAGAGATTCCCAGTAAATGAGATTGTGTGACTTGAGCTTTGGTATGCTACTGCTTGGTGCTTAGAGTGTTCCTCTGAAATTACATTGACTCTTGAGTACATGTAGGATATTAATTGATGTTCCTTTTACACCTATAAATAAACATTTATTCATTTATAACTGCTCACTTGAGAAGGTCTGGAATGAGGTTCAAGTTTAATTATAAATATTAAATTTGAATTATTCCCTATATATTTGGCTGGCATCTGTTCAAGAGAGCAAACAGCTGTCACGTGGTGGTAGTTAACCTAAGAATGAGCCAATCTTAAATTTATGTCAACTTTTTCATTCTAAAAATAGAATTGTGTATAGCAATTTGTGTATTCTCTTAAACCATTTAGCTCCATAAGAAACAACTCGGTTTTTGCTCTTTGATATAGCACAACTATTTGAAAAAATTTTTTTTCTAGCTTATCTAACCACTTATGAAAAGAGTAAAGTATCTCTTCATCTTATTGTTTAGAGTTCTGTCTTAGATTTGTCATAAGTAGTATTGTTTCCTCAACCATGTCGTTTTCCTCAACCTATTATTATATCTATTTCTTTTGTACCTGTTCATTTTGACTCATTTAAGGAAATAAAATGGCCTGTTACACACAGTATAATAATACATAATAGAAAGTTTTCAGGAGACAGGTAACTGAACTTTTCAGAACTTTGCATGTCACATATAAAGAGAAGGGATCAATATTATAAGAGAAGGCATTATATATGGTTGATAGTTTTGAATTTGAACCGAGGGTGTATATCAAGCATATAGTGCCCCTCTCAAATGTCCCCTCACATCTTTTGGAGAAAAAAATTAAAAGTTAATAACAAAACCCAGCTATAAATGTGCTAGAACATAAAAGGTTTCTCAGTGGCCCAGAAATTGTAAAGATTCCTGAAAGACAGAAAAGAAGCCCAGTGAGTGCAGCCTGGAGGAAACCACTGAAAAGGTAGATGTGACTTAGGAATGCTAGTCTTAGTATCAGCAGAGAAGACAGAACAGAAGGAACCTGCGGGAACTCTGGAGGATCGTGGGTAATGTAATAAGGGGATTCACTTCCACTCATCTCAGTTGTACCAAAATGCAGCCAACAGAATTGTGTATTTCCAGGTCAGAACAATAAACAGAAATACTGGCAGCAAAGAAGTAAGACAGAGCTCACACTTTTGTTGATATACAGAAGAAAGTCTCTCATTGCCCAGAAAACTAAATTCTGCCTACTCAGCCTCAGATAACCATGGCAGTAGGCTAAGATGAGCTTGTATTTAAAAGCAGATCAACACCTACCCAAAAAAAAATCGCTGACCAGTTTAAGAAAGTAAACACTTAAAAAAAAAAAAAAAAGCAATACCATTGGACTGTGTTGTGGCCTTAAAACTACCAAGTCTTCATTCCCTGAATCCATATACTACTTCACATGAAAGTCTTTGGGGCGATGGTAGAGGGGAACATGTCTTGATTGATGTGATTACGTTAAGACTTTTTAGATGAAAGAGGCAGAGGAGAATTTGACACAGGCAGTTTAGTTTAATGACACAAATAGGAGTAATGTGGCCACAATCTAAGAAATACTGGCTATCCCAAGAGCTGGGTGAGGTGAGGAAGGGATTCTCCCTAGAGCCTCAAGATGGCATGGCTTTGTCAACACTGAGAGAGAGAGAGAGAGAGAGAGAGAGAGGGAGAGAGAGAGAGAGAAAAGAGGAGGAGGAGGAGGAGGAGGAGGAGGAGGAGGAGAGAGAGGAGAGAGAAATCACATCAGAGAAAACAGAACAGAGTGGAGTGGATTAGACTTTTAAAGAAATATACAAAGTACTTCCCAAGGAAGAGTGAGGTTATAAGATTCCAGAAGCAAGAATAGGCTACTAGGAAAGGGGTCCACTACAGAGATTTCTCGCAGAAAATGAAAGACCCCAGATGTAGGCTCATAGTAACGGGTGGTCTTTTTGACTGCCGGATAAATATAGAGATGGAATCCCTGTCAGAAAAGTTAGCAGCAGTGGAGGGCAAGCAGGTAGCCTTCCTGCTGGAGAACAGACAGGGACAAGCCTAAGCAAGTGGAGAAGCATGGTGGGAAGAGAAAGCTAGAGTCCATGGGCCCCTAATTCTAAACAGGATGAATAGAAGTCGACGTCATACTAAACTATTGTTCTATAAGCCAAAACTGCAAGAAGAAAGAGTTAATCATTGATTCGCCCCTGCAGTCTGTGACTTGTCTAGCCACAGGTTCTTGGCCCTGAAGAGTGCCAGGTTCCAGGCACAAGTCCCACACCCAAGAGCATTTGGGGAACACAATTGGGCTTGATAGCCCTTACAGAAAGAATAGAGGAGGGGCTGGAGAGATGACTCTGGTTAAGAGCACTGGCTGCTCTTGCAGAGGACCTGGGTTCAGATCCCAGCACCCACATAGCAGCTAACAACCATCTGTAACTCCAGTTCCAGGGTATCCAGTGCCCTCTTCTAACCTCCAAGAACATTGCATGATATGGGTGCACTCACATGCGTGCAGGTAATACACTTCATACACATAAAATAAGAGTAATAAAAGAAAAAAAACTTTTAAAAAGAATAGAAGATAGGAAGTGAAGAGGGTAGGATCGTGGGGGCAGGTCTGAGAAGAAATGGGGGAAGGGTCCTGAGAGGGGGAGTCTGAATATGATCAAAATTCATCATATGAGATTCTCAAAGAATCAATAAAAATATTATTTAAAAACATTTGAAACAAAAATATTGGGGCGAGGGGTAGAGAGATGGCTCAGTGGTTAAGAGCACTGACTGCTCTTGCAGAGGATGTGGGTTCAGTTCCCAGCACCCACATAGTGGCTAACAATGACCCATAACTCCAGTCCCAGGGGATCTGATACCGCCTTCTGACCTCCACAGGCATTACATGCAGCAGTGTTCTTACGTACATTCAGACAAAACACTCATACATATAAGAAAATAAAAATAAAATTTGAAAGCCACAGATATCGTGGTATGGAAAGTTTTCAGGATGCTTTTCTTGATAGTATCTTATGCAGGTCATAAAAACCTCATTTCTCACACGTGATTCTTTGGTGATTCACTCACATCTAAAAGACAGTAAAGAAATGAATTGAGAAAACAGGAAATCATGAGTTTAAAAAAAATCTCAAGTAAATACTATATTTATCAATATAAATATGGATATATCTGCAGGTATGTATTTACATCCTAATATTTCCATTTTGCAATTTAACATTATGATTTGATGTGTCTTTTAAAGATGGAAATCTGCAGAGAATACTAAGAGTGTTGAGTCATCAGGAATAAGAATAATAAAGTACTGACTGGCCTTTTAAAAAATAAATAATAAAAAAGGAACAGTCTGAATGTCCAGCAGTAATGGGATGATAGCACAAACAATGATTGTACCCATGTTACAGGATACTCAGCAACAGAAATAAAGGTTGTAGGATTACAGGCAGATAGAATGATGTAATAAGACCTCTGAGACAGTTCTAGGAGAGACTAAAAATTAACTGGAAGAATAATATGTACTGTATATCAACCATGTTTATGCATGAAAGTATTTCTCTCTGTGTGTGTAAATAGCTGTAACTTCATTGAAAGGGTTCTAGAAGAACACTGGTAAGGGGAGAGCTCTTGTTTAAGAGGGACTCTCATTTTGATGTGCTTTTTGTGATAATACATTCAGTAGTTTTAAAAAATGACATTTATGTAGCAGTAGTATTCCTTCAAGTTTGGAGCAATAGCTCTCAGCCTTTATTTTCATTCTTTTTCTGAGCCATTTGAAAGTCACAGAATTATCACCAGTGTGTATTTTCTCAAAGAGCGTTTCTTCACATTTGCATTGCACTGTAAGATATTCAGCAGACAGTGCATAGTTTTGGTGATCCTAAAATAGTGTATGTCCTCAAGGGCACAATTATTGGCTTTCTCAAAACTCTTAAACCAGATTTTTGATAGTAGGCAGTGTATTCTACAATTAGTAAGACATCAACATGTTTATTGTATAATTAGATTATAACGTAACTTTAGTGATATAGTAATTATTTATGCCAATATTAGTAGCTTCTAATGTAATGATTTAAAAAGAAGAAAAGTATACTCAGATGTCAGCTTTCACTATTAAATATTTATGTCAGGTGACTGTTCCATAGAGATGACATCTTGACTCAGTGGTTAAGAAACACATTAAATAGGAAGTGTCAGATGTCTTCTCCAGTAAAATAGCCAGATTATTATTATTATTTCACCATAGTGGCAACATCTGCCAGGGAAATTAAAACAGAATTTCTCCCCTAGGGAGATTGAGCCTGTCCCAACTAAAGCTGTGGCAGGGGATGCCAGGAAATTCTGACATATTGTTGGAGCAAATGCTTCAAAAATATCTTGTATTTTTTCTGTTACAGCAACTTCACTGTGTAGTGGTTGGAAGTGAAAATGCCAAGCGATATTTTGAAGCTGTTCAAGGATCAAAAGAACACCGAGGAGAGCTCTTTGGTAGCCACAACCTCTTCAAACTAAGGTCCCAAGGCTCTTGTCTTACAAGGGACATCCTGGAGGTGGGAAATTGTTCATGACATTTTTGATAATGTTTTAAATATATTATCTTTAGGAAATTTGAAATATAACTGATGCTTTCTTTTCACTTGTTCAGAATTTCTACTTTCAGAGAAATCAGAAATGAATTTTATCACTAAGCCACAGTTTTCTCATGGATACTTACAGATAATACACACCCATATACCAACACATATATGAGACAGTATGACCTCCATGGCCATTTTCAGACTAGCAGAGGGGAGTGTATTAGTTTGAAAACAGCTGTTGAAGTTGAGAACTAAAAAAAAAAAAAGCTTTTCCTAAATAAACAAAACTGTAAAATATGTTTTGATTAGAAGTTACCAAATACTCCCTGAGATGTACTCTCATGTCTCTTAGAGACTTTTGTTTGTGTTTCCAATAAAAATTCCACACCAATATTTCAAACTCTAGTTATATTCATCTTCAGCATACAGATGTTTCTTTTTTTTTAAAAAGTAATCATTT